CCGAGCGGAGCCCGGGGCGGGGGGAGGGAAGGGAAGGGAGGCGAAGCCGGCAGGAAGGAAGGAAGGACGGACGGACCAGGAGGAGGAGCGGCAGCAGCGGCCGGAGCCGGAAGGCGGGGAGGGGCCGTCCGTTGGGCCCGAGGCGGCGGCGGCCAGGGCGAACTGCTCTCGTCGCCTCCTCCCCCCGGCGCCGCGGAGGGGGGAGGAGGAAGATGGAGACCCACATCTCGTGCTTGTTCCCCGAGCTGCTGGCCATGATCTTCGGCTACCTGGACGTCCGGGACAAGGGGCGCGCGGCGCAGGTGTGCACAGCCTGGCGGGACGCCGCCTACCACAAGTCGGTGTGGCGGGGGGTGGAGGCCAAGCTGCACCTGCGCCGGGCCAACCCGTCGCTGTTCCCCAGCCTGCAGGCCCGGGGCATCCGCCGGGTGCAGATCCTGAGCCTCCGCCGCAGCCTCAGCTACGTGATCCAGGGCATGGCCAACATCGAGAGCCTCAACCTGAGCGGCTGCTACAACCTCACGGACAACGGGCTGGGCCACGCGTTTGTGCAGGAGATCAGTTCCCTGCGCGCCCTCAACCTGAGCCTCTGCAAGCAGATCACCGACAGCAGCCTGGGCCGCATAGCCCAGTACCTTAAAGGCCTGGAGGTTCTAGAGCTGGGGGGCTGCAGCAACATCACCAACACCGGCCTCCTGCTCATCGCCTGGGGCCTGCAGCGCCTCAAGAGCCTTAATCTCCGCAGCTGCCGCCATCTCTCGGATGTGGGCATTGGACACCTGGCCGGCATGACGCGCAGCGCGGCAGAGGGCTGCCTGGGCCTGGAGCAGCTCACGCTGCAGGACTGCCAGAAGCTCACCGATCTTTCTCTAAAGCACATCTCCCGGGGGCTGACGGGCCTGAGGCTCCTCAACCTCAGCTTCTGCGGAGGCATCTCGGACGCGGGTCTCCTGCACCTGTCGCACATGGGCAGCCTCCGCAGCCTTAACCTGCGCTCCTGTGACAACATCAGTGATACGGGCATCATGCACCTGGCCATGGGCAGCCTGCGCCTCTCGGGGCTGGATGTGTCGTTCTGTGACAAAGTGGGGGACCAGAGTCTGGCTTACATAGCGCAGGGGTTCTTTCCCTCTGCTCCTGCCACATCAGCGATGATGGCATCAACCGCATGGTGCGGCAGATGCACGGGCTGCGCACGCTCAACATCGGACAGTGTGTGCGAATCACGGACAAGGGCCTGGAGCTGATTGCTGAGCACCTGAGCCAGCTCACTGGCATAGACCTGTACGGCTGTACGCGAATCACCAAGCGCGGCCTGGAGCGCATCACGCAGCTGCCCTGCCTCAAGGTACTCAACTTGGGACTCTGGCAGATGACGGACAGTGAGAAGGTCAGGTGAGGGCGGCAGCACCAACTCCCCTTGTCCCGCCCTGTTTCTCCTCCTGTCATCTCCCCCCTCCCACCTCCACACGCACACTTATACACAGATCCTTGCAGTGGATGAGATGGGGGCAGTGATACGAAGCTTCAGGCTCATTTTTCTCCTCCCTCCTCCAGCACCCCCTGCCCACTACTCGTCCATTCATTGCATCTGGGGTTCCTCTGCTACCCCTACCGTACCCCCCCCCTTTTTCCCTGAGAATGGAGAGAAGGACTCAGCTACTTAACCCATCCACTCCTCTGCTGGGGGATGGAGGGCTGATTGAGCTACTGTATCCCCACTGCGTTGCTTTAGAAAATGGGGGTGGGGGTGGGAAGAACTAGTCCTTTCGACCCTGGGGAGTTGAGGAAAATGTCTGCCTTCACTTAAGCTTTCATTGGAATACTGTGATCTGGTTTTTATTTTGAAATGTATGAAAGCAAACCCAACTATAACGGCCTTTTCACCCTTCCTCCACTTAATAACTAATCCCAGTCTCTTCTCATCACTTCTCTTTTTACAGTACTCTGATATCCACGCTCATTTCATTTTTATCCTTTTTTTTTTTATCATGGTCCTTTTTTTCTGCTGAATATATTCTATATATTATATATATATAAATTTTATATATATATAAGTATATATATATGTCTGGCTACCTCGTTTTAGTTTACTTTTTTCTCTGAAGCCCTGGAATTCAACAAGAGAGATATTTTGAGACTAAAACATTTTTGTGCCTAGACTGGAAAGATACCCATTGGGTTTGTACGTCTTTTCTTGGTTGGTTTCTTCCCAAACCCCATCCATCCAGTATGTCCCACTTCCACATTCTGGCTATAATTTTCTTTTTCTACTTGTCCATTGAGATTTGAGGGCCCAACGATGTTCCTAAATCTTAATTTATAGCACAAATGTGTGGGAGAAATGAGAGTTGAACTGGTTTTTGTTTGAGATGCAGATTGTCTTGCAAATGATTATTATATATGCAAATTATGCCCTACCCTCACCCTCTTCCAAGTTTCCCCACAAAAAGGTCACACAGTGAGGCTTCCTGTTGGAAGCAGAAGAGCAGAGTTGGCCTACAGAGCCCCTGGGGCTGTAATGTGAAGGGAAGGAGACTGAAATTCATGTCTTTATCTCTGTTCTGTTAATAAAATGGGAGTTTGTGGGTTTTAAAAAATTCTGTTTCTAAATGGAGGAGTAGATGACTTTATTTTGGTGGGGGTTGGGACTTGTGGCTTTAAAAAAAAATCGCTTTTGAGTAGGATGTATATTTTTGTTGGATTTTTTGTTTATTTTTTTAGAATCCTCCACAGCAACATGCGAGACCATGGAGTTAAAGAAACCCAGAGACCTTTATCAATTAATTGTACTGTTTGTGAATTTGTATAAATAATAACAAAGATCCTCTTAAAACGTTTATATTCTTACAGTAAAAGGTTAAACTGATATTTATATAATAAAAGAGGAAATATGAAGTATGTTTTTGAGAAAAAACAACCTTGTATCTGTGAATTATTTTGAAGGCAGTGTGTGTTTGGGTACATGCCAAAGTCAGAGGTGCTGTTTGTGTGCTTTCAAGTAAAAGGAAATAAGGCATAGACTTCAGTGCGTCCTATATGCTACGAGTAAGCTCACGGTTAAAAATTTATTCTGTATAAGGTTTACTAGTGACATCTAAATGTTTTGTTTCTAGAAATGTGATTAGATTGAAGAGTTATATAATTTTGGTTTTCAACTGTCAACAACATTGAAATTTAAAGAAACTGAACAAAATGAAACTTTTTTGAAAACCAGATTTGTAAGAGTCACAATTTCCCCAGGGTGGCATATTTTTCTTTGGGTGGAAATGACATCTAGGGGTAATGTTCAAAAAATGGGTCGTGAGATGTGGAAGTGGGGAAGAAAGATGGGTTTCTTTACACTTTGAGTGGGTGTGGGAGGATGTGAAATGGTGAAGGGTGGAGGGAACTGAAGCCATTGTTCAGAAAAGTTAAAAGAGCGCTATCCTTGCTTCCTTGCCTGCTTGCTCAGTCATGCATGGTGAATCTCAGTGTGAGTGAGGGTCCTAGTGGATAGGAGGAGGGCAGTTCAGCCCCTCTTTTTAACATTCTCCTCCCGGCCTGGCTGTATTTAAGCACTTTCCTGGGGGGCGGGGAGGTTGGCCAGGAGTTCTTGCCGGTTTGCATTTTAAGCACTTCCAAAGCTGAGGGTGAGCGTTCTTAGACTGAATTTGGGGCACATAAATGAATACCAACATTTCTAGTAAAGCATTCCCTTTGGTAGACAAAAACTAAATAGTCTGACACCCTGTGGTTGGGCTGTGGAAATGGAAGAGTATTTCCAAATGCTCAAACAGTGGAGGTAATTCATATTCCTGGTTTTACAGACGTCTTTCCTAGTTGTTTCTGCTTTTTTTTTTTTTTTTTAGAAAAATACTGATCCCAGCAAGAGCTGATAAGAGTAGTATAAAACTTTCCTGGATCAGCACCTCTTTCCAGGAAGAGAGCTAGAACCCAGGTTTCTCTTGGGATAAGATTGTTTTGTAAAATTTCCAAGCTTTCTGCTTGAGCATATCACAAAAGCTGCATTGTTCCTTTTTGGAGAGCCATCATAATTGGGTCTAATTGAGCCTGACACTAGATCCATCTTCCTTTTCTTTGGGGAAGATGTAGATCTGTTTCTTCCCTCTTAGGTTACTGTGCTTATTCCCTGGGGCGGGGGCGGGGGTGGAGTAGGAACTTTGAATTAGGGTCTGCTTTCTCATTTAGCATTTGACACTACAGTGCATGAGGGTTACACAAGCTATAAGTTCTTGGACTGTTTTTCTTCTTCCAAGAGACTGCATGGCTGTACAGATTCAGTCAATAAAAATTTGAGCACTTCCTAAGTCTCAGGCTCTGTGCTCACATTCTTCATTTTAATATGCTGAATAATCCTACCAATTAACCAGAAGGGTTATTTGGTTTTCTATTTTGTCTGGTTTTTACTTTAAAGGTTAAATATAGGCTTGGCTAAAGCTTGGTAAATTAATGTTTGAAAGTTAAGATCATGGGCCTAGTGTCCTCATCCTGAACTGAGCATACTTAATAATATACTTGGAACATCTCTGGAAAAGATGAATAAACTACTTATTTTCATCAGTCAAGATTAACTTCTTATCTCTAAACCTTTTTGGGTAGAAAGAAAAGAATATGAGTTGAGAACCTCATATGGTGTGCTTTGCATGGTACTTGTTAATTTCCATTTTAGTCCTCAAAGCAACCTGTTGAAACAGGTATCCTGTTTTTCAGATATACTCCTCTCCTTAAAGTCACCCTGCTACCTGTTGAAGAGAGCTAGAACTCAAACCAGGTCCAACTCCCTTTTGCTCTGTGAGAAGGTTCAGTTATTGGTCATCCTTGGTTTCCAGTAAGGCGACCTCACAGGAGTGAGTGGTAGCTTTTTGAACACAGTGTGGACAAGCTCATGCCGCAGGACACTACTTTAAAGTGAATAGGATCTCCACCATACCTACAAGAATGGAAAGAAATGCTTTTAAAGAATTAAAAATTAATTAATTGGGTGGTACAAAAGTTAAAATTCACTTAAGGGTAATTTTTAGAATAACAGAAGAAAACCTGATTCAGGTATTTGCTGAAACTTCAGGACTGAAAAATCAAAATAAGAACTTTGTAAATTTATCATCCAGAAGTAATAAACCTCAAGAGAAACTCTGGGTAGGAGTTAAGAAAGGGATCCACATACCTTTCTTTTCTAAGTCTCATCAGGCAGTAGCCCTGTAAGGTCTGTACTGAAAAGACTATCTATAAATGTAATTGGGGTTCAGACAGTTTCTGCAGCTCCCTAAGGACCACAGTAGGCCTCTAGCTAAGAGCGCTGGGCTGTTGTGTAATTCTCCCTGCTGAATTCTTGTCTTAAGGCTGAGGAGGGCCCTCTCAATTTGATTCCACATTTGGCAATAGCGACAAGGATGCTTGCCTGAGTATAGTACCTCCTTAAATAGTTAAGGAAACGCAAACTGATCATATTCTTTCATGATTCAAGATCAACAAGGATCTGAAAAAGCAAATGTTCCTTTTCTTGGAGTTTCTTTTTAAAAATTTTCTTTTCACTAAGGACATGATATGTAAATTAAAGCCTGGCCTATCCTCCCAAATTCTGCTGTTTTCTTGCAGTAGTTACTAGATAGATGCTAGTCTTGGGGTAAAAGTTAAACCTTTCACTTTGGGCTTAGAGAATTTGAACTCACGTTTCCACAGGGGAAAAGGTAGTGGCCCCCAGGGACCATGTTTACAAAGGATAAGAGCCCCCTGAGTAAAACATTTGTAAAACAAAACCGAGACCTCACGTCTGGGTGAAAGGGAAGGCCCCAGGTCTCTGCTCTCAGCTGCTCTGCTGTAGAAAGGGGCTGCAGTAAGTCACCTAGTGGTCGTCCTCTCTGTCGTCTTTCTCTTCCCTGAGTCAGACATCACAATCACACCCTTTTAAAAGTTAATTCTATTCCTTTAGTAGAGGGCAAGACCTAAATTTTATGTCACTGTGAACCCCTGCAGAGTCGGGTGAGGCTTTTTGATGAGATGATGCACATCTTTTTCTTCTTCCAAGAGACTGCATGGCTGTACAGATTCAGTCAATAAAAATCCTGTAAAGTACAGGATTAGAAATTGGAGAGCTGCATTCAAACCTAAGCTTATGCTTAGGCCACATATTTATCTCATTTTTGCCAATGGACTCATTTACATATTAGGAAACAAGTTAAAGTTTTTGAAAAGTGAATATTGTCAAACAGGAGACATTCATTCTTTGGTCAGTGCCAACTATTAATAATTCAGAACTTATCAAAGGTAAGTGCACAGCTGAAATAAAAGCATATATACTCTAAGGTCTTGGATTAGTAAAGGGGTTATTTATAGATTGGTAAATTTTAATGTCCACAAATGATCAGTTTCAGTCTTCCTCTTTCCAGGAATTGCTCTGATTTTGCCTGGTGGAGTTGTCTATACCAACCCAGCACCTTTGGTACTATGTAAAGCCAAGTCTTCCAGTTAAGGTGCAAGAGAAAGTAAGCTTGAGATCTTGACTGCGCGGCACTAGAGTACGGTATGTTTAGCATCCCTCAAATAAAACAAAATAGAGGTGGAATTTCCCCGCCTGTTTGTTAGCCCGGAAATGTGTACATTTTTTCTTTAAAAAGACAAGTTTTTATTATCTCATTACTCTTCCACTCTAATTATCTGAAAGACAAATGTCACATATTCTTGTAAGTCTGCTTTTATTTCCTACAGTGGAAAGTAGCCTCAATTAAAAGAAGAGAAGAATGAGGTCTCTAGCAGCAGCAAAGAAACCCAGGTGAGACAGTGTTAGGGATGTGAATGTGGTCTGCTGGAAGAACTTAATCATAACACAGTATTCAATTTCTCTGTCTCAAAGTTTTTGTTTTCCCAAGTCTGACAGATATTGTACATTTGATTTCATAAATGGGGAAAGAGGCTTGACAGGGGTGAAAATATACTGCCTAGGTGATATGAAGAGTCAGTATGAGAACTGAGGCTGCTCCAGACTTTAATGACCACATCAGAGAGTGGTCAACATGCAGGTTCCTCGAGACACTGCAAAGCACCACCCTGAGCCCTCTCTCTTCAGAAAGACGATAAACCAGAGTATATTTTCTTTGGGAGTTTAAAAGAAAAAAAAAACCCAAATGCTGAAAGTTATTACTATTTAATAAGCAATAAATTAGGCAAACATGATATACAGGATTATTCAAGAAGCCAAAAAGCTATTGTTAAGTTGGTAAACAGGCTATAGGGTACCCAAGCAGCTAGTAGTGCCAAATCTGTCATCTGCTTGGAAACTCGAGCCAGTTTCCAAAACACTGCTTTGTCACAAATAGTCATATGAAGTATAAATGCTGGAAGTCTGTACTTGGACTAAAGTAGTCTCAAAGCTAAGAACTTACACACATTTAACATGTTTACAAATGTCTGTCACACAATCCTTTTATAAAATAGAGTCAAGTTGCGAGAACACTAGCTATTGTCATTCAAGGATAAAAAGGCTTGACTTCGTAGATGTTTTAGTTACAAATCCCTCTTGTCTACAAAGAGTAAAAGGGTCTAATTTGTTAATATCAGGCACCCTCTTATGTTTATAGTCCTCAATTTATGTAATCCACCCTCCAGAAGGATCAGGACTATCACACAGCTGTCTGTCAATAATTCGGACTCATAGCCAGGATCCAACTTACTGGAATTAGGATGTGGGAAAACATCTTCAAAACCAGATTAACTTATTTAGTAGTGCAGAATTATTCAGTATGGCTTGGAAATCATTATTTTCCTCATCTGAAAAGAATATGAGAATATTTACTACAAACATCCATAATTATATTTCTCCTTAGGGAATCTTTACCGCAAACTGGCATTTTTATGTATACATTTGTGTAGGAATAGCTGCCCGCTTCCAGTCTGCTTTTTAAAGAAGTGGTCTCCAAA